CCCTCTCCCCCTCCCCCGGCTTGTGTTCCCTCTCTCGCTGTCTCTCTCTCTGTCAAAAAATAAATAAAAAATCTTAAAAAAAAAAAAAAAAAAGAAAACCCTACCAGTTCTATACCCATCTACATGCACACATGAATACGCTGTATGTGCAAAGAAAACTCACCTCTGGGGAGTGAAATAGCACTTTACACACTTTTGTATTTCACAAGCACAGCTGTAACTCACGAATTATATCAACAACTCATCTGACTATTGCTCACTACGTGCCAGGTGGTTTATCTATTTTTTCCTCATCCCCACCCCTGCCCCCCACTAACAGCTCTTTAGGGAGCTCATATGCCTGACTGCACACAGCACTTCATATCTGTTATTCCTTTTAACCCTCACAACAACCCTGGCAAAGGACAGAATGAGAATCCAAGCCAGGCCTGCCCAACACTAACACCAACAATCAACCTAACACATATCATGTGGTGGTCCTGGTCATCTCCTGGGAATGTGAGGCAAGAGTCTGATGAGTGATGGCTGGGAAATGATCCCCCGCTGCCTCACTAAATTAGGTCCACTTAAAGCCCAGTCTAACAAGTCCTGGAAATCTACACATGGACGATCCACAATTATGAGCCAGTTTTCTTAGCCTCACCTCTAGTTCTCGATATATTAATGAATACATAGTCAACAATGTTGTTTGTTTTTTTTTTTTAAGATTTTATTTATTTGACAGAGAGAGCCAGAGAGCACAAGCAGGGGGAGTGGCAGAGGGAGAGGGAGAAGCAGTCTCCCCGCTGAGGAGGGAGCCCGACGCGGGGCTCAGTCCCAGGACTCTGGGATCATGACCCGAGCCGAAGGCAGACGCTTAACCATCTGAGCCACCCGGGCGCCCCGTCAACAATGTTTTTAAGGGTAACATACAAGCAGGCAAATTACTTACTCATGTTCACTTAGTGACACCAGCCACCTATCACAAACAGCTAAAGGTGTCCAGGGTTCTGTTCTGTGGCATTTCCCACAGCAATCTCTGAAATCTGGCAACTAAGACCAAGAGGAATTCCACAAAGAAATCCTAGCAGATTTAAGTAAAACAAAATGACAGACTAGGCTTACAACCCTGAAGAGGATTTCAGTCTGACTGCCTCACTTTATAGACAATAGTAGAGAAGCTAATTAAGTCAGGTGATGTGTCCAAGTTCACATCACAAACTCCTGGCAAACCATCCGTCTCTTCATTCACCTAGGTCCAAAAATGCTTCTACAACCAGAGAATAATCCTGAGTGTTCTAGGGTGGAGAAGATCCTGAGTGAACCAACGGGGCTACTTCCCATCACGCTGTGAAATAAAATGACCATTTCCCAAAGACTCAAAGGCTCTGTAAAATGTAACCTCTACTGAACAAGAAATAATCCTCAAAAACCCGTTTTTTAAACCAGACATACAAAATTAGGGTGTGTAAAAGGAAGTAATCTAACATAGACTGCCTCCAAAATATGAAGGAGTTGGAAAGGGGTATATCCGATTTGATTATTTAATCCTAAGAAAAGATGATCTCCATTTGAGAGAGGAATGTCTCCAAATTTATAAACTGGCACGTGCAGTTGATTATGAACTGTTTCCTGACTCAGGGGGAGCGGGAAAGGAGATTCAGACTAGTCTCAGGACAATTACAACCTCCCACCAGTATTTGCACAGGGGCTTTCCCAGAATCACTGCCACCAGAGCTTCTCAAGCATGCGGTCCCTAAAGTCAGGCCAATTTACAGATAAGTAAGTGCAGGCTCAGCATTATAAAGAAAACCTGATGTGGGTCTCACAGCAAGTAGTGTAAGGTCTTTTGACTTTGGATTCCAGCTCTTTCTAGAACACCATACCTCTATTCTTTCCTCTCGCAGAGATGCAGACTAGAGTCCACTGGTTTGAAAGAATTTAGTTATATGACTTCTGAGAGGCCTTCATTTTTATTTATTTTTATTTTTTATTTTTTAAAGATTTTATTTATTTCTTTGACGGAGAGAGACACAGTGAGAGAGGGAACACAAGCAGGGGGAGTGGGAGAGGGAGAAGCAGGCTTCCCGCGGAGCAGGGAGCCCGATGCGGGGCTCGATCCCAGGACCCTGGGATCATGACCTGAGCCGAAGGCAGATGCTTAACGACTGAGCCACCCAGGTGCCCCGAGAGGCCTTCATTTTTAGAAAACCAAATAGAGAAGACTTGAACAGGCCCCCTTCTTGCATCCTGATCTCTGGGTCTGGCAGATGCAACAATGATCAGGCTCAGCTAAATGTGTTCATGGCAAGAGGGCCGAAGAACAGAAGCTTCCATCAGCACACAACCCTCAGGGTCAGAAACTTTCCTTTTCAAACTAACATTCCCAGTCACAGCAAGAAAACAACTTCATTAAGCAAAATGAAACACATATACACAAAGAAGAAACTTTTCAGAAACCAAAAACTTACTAACCCCTCTTGGATCAAGGCAAAATGATACTAACTGTATTACTCTTCACCTTTTCTTCCCAACACAGAAGAAACTGAGCCCAAATAAACATAAAGCACTGGCTCAATGTTCTCAAACACCCAATGTTTCAAGTTGTTCGGTATATAAGGGCGAATGAAATGTAAAAATCCCAAGTATTTGCAGATGTGTCAACAATAAATTTTTATCACATACAAAGACCATATCAATTCCTAGGGGCTGTCAAACTGGGCTGCTAGACTCCAAAAATGTTTTTTTCTCATTCTAAGCCATCAAGGCTAACTTCCTACTTTATCCAAAACAACAAAACAACTCAAACCTATTAACTATGGACACTTCTAGCTATCTGACCCAGAACGGTTCACTTAATCTCTGTAAATTTCAATTTTCTCTAATGTAAAATGAAAGTAATGCCTACAGTAAGGACCAAATGAGAACATATATTATAGTGTTTTGTAAGCCATAAGACTCTATCTAATCCAAGACATTTTATCATCACTAACTTATAACAGGCATATATGGTAGTGCTGTTCAGGACAGTGACTTGTGAGGTCATGAGGTTCACTGTCCTGTCTTCAGGCCAGAAAGCTCACAAACTGTCCCAAATGAATACACAACAGGGAGTCGCAGAAATCACAGAAGCTGGTGACCTCCTCATTTCCTCAGACTGAGGTTCACAACAAATCATGCCTGAGGTATAACTAAAAGAAGCCACAGCCTCCAAAACTGAACACTAATAAATGCTGGATGCTGAAAATACTTCTGGGACACGGGGAGAATAAATGGCTGTAAGGTTAATGCAGGGAAATTCTCAAGTCCTCTGTACTTCAAACCCTGTGTGAAAACCTCATTTCTTATCCCTCTCTTGGGAGAAGAGATACTGCCACAAGCCTTGGTAAATGTTTTGCTACCCTTTGTAGCCAAATCCCAGGCTGGGGAAAATCTGACTATAAAATGGTCCAACTGCTGGGAAACAACATACACAGTATTTACCAAGACCTACTAGTTACCTGTGAAAAGGAGAAAAGAACAGGCAGTCTCAGGGGACGCCACACACATCTTTCTTCTCTCTATGCAAAGCGCATGGCTTGGAGGAAAGTAAGGCTTTGCGTCAGACAGACCCAATTAGCCACTCACTAGCAAAGACTATGGTGCAGGCATTGAAGGTGACATACAAAGCCCACCGCATATAGTAGGCACTCTTAATAGCAGCTAATCGTACCGTAATGATAGAGCTTTCTACGAGCTCTGGGATGAGGTCACGCTAATCCTCATCTCCTCTCTCCATCTGTCATTAAGCCATGAATAACATATGTTGCTGATTAAAGTTGGAGGAGACAGGACATGTGATCTTTAACCCAGAGGGACATGGATTAGTTTCTCACTGATTTGTTTGTTTTTTCTTTTCTAAGCTGAATCTCCAACACAGTTGAAAGCATCAGAATAAGGGTACAAAAAAAAAAAAAGATCTCTATTTAGCCTGAAGCCCAGTTCCCCCAGAAAGTCACCCTTTATGGGAGTAATTTTTCTAATTTAATTTTGGGTGCATTTTGAAGGACAGAAACGACACTGGGAAGACAATAAAAGTTTTAGTCAAAAATTAAGTGCCCCGTGAACCTTTAAAAAAGGGTTCCTTTTAAAGCAACTCTACACATCATAGGTATCTTTGGCTACTTTCTTCCACAAATTTCTGAAGGAACTTTGACAAAGGATAAGTATTTCTAAAACTGACTTTGCAAGCTCCTTAATTCTCATTTTGTTAAATCTCCAATCAGTTTTTCTTACTGTCAGTTAAATGGCCTGCCTAATATTTGGAGCTTAACGGTGTTCTCCGTCCTCTAGAGCAGAGGGAAACTGCCCCAGGCCACCAACACAGCAACTGCTCAGGTTGTCTCACTGGGCCTCAATTTCATATTCTCCTTAGACCATGTGTGGCTTCTACTCTCGCACAATTCTAAAGCTTCATGCTGCGATTGCTGTGTAGACTGTGCAATGAGGAGAATCCACTGAATGGTGGTATGCACGGAAACAAGATGATCGAGTCTGTGGTTTTAGAATGTGAACTCTGACCGCGGTGGAGAAGGTGGACTGGAGGAGCCAGCCTGAGGCAGGGATGACGACAGAGGACAACCGTGAGAGCCACACTGAGAAATGACAGAAATGAACACAGTGCAGCAGGGAGAGTAGAGAGAACAAGGGAAGACAGAAGCAACAGAACCCGGGGACTAACGCATCTGAGATCAAAGGCGGAGAATGACTTCCAGGTGTCTGGCTTGGGAGACTGGGCCAGGAGGCGAGTGAGAAAGAGAGCATGGGGGGAAGTGCACTTGTCCTCTGTGAGCCAAGAACAGAAACAGGAAGAGTAGGGTCGAAGGGTGGGAGTCGGGGAGGAGAAATTCTGCCAGGGTCATGGTGAGTCTATTGTTTTCATGCAACATCTGGTTGGCAATAACCCCTGCAGGAAAGCAATGGCCAGAATGGGGCAGGACATCAAGGGAGACAAAGAGCTGCTGAGACGCAGGCCCAAACCCTAAGGAAGGAACTAAATTTCCTCTATTCTACTTTCTATAAGTCCGTACTAACTAGGATCAAACTGGTGAGGTCCCCTTTCACTGAAGAAATGGGGGTAGTTGGACAGTCTTTTCAAGAAACGGCAGTTCCAGCCTTGTCTGTTCTCAGCCTTTATTACCCTTCCTCCCTCTCAGACCCAGAAACCAAGCCCCTCACGTTCAAGCCTCCTTCACTCACCAGCTGGATCTCAACAGCAGTCATAGGCCTGTGATTCAGCAGCTGAAGCTTTTCGGCTCTGTCAAAAGAAAAGTACAAAGCATTTAAAACTCTTATTCCCTTCAGAATCTTGAGTCTTGACCAAGCTGTTTAGAGAACACTGTGTCAGATAACAAATGGGAGAACCAGTTGGAACATGGCCTTCAGTTTCTTCAACTGTAAAATGAGAGGATGGGAATAGGAGAGCCTATGTCAGAGACTCTTAGAGGGTACAAATGTGCATTAGAATCCTAAAAACAACAGAGGTATGGATTAAAAGAAATACAACAAATAGTAGAGGTGCAGTTTTAATAAATTTTATGTGAAAAATATGAAGAAAATAACATTTTCTTAATCCAGATTATAGACAGTAAAGATTAATAAAATAATCTTGGTTGGTTGGTATCACTTAGAAATGGCTGAGAATTCCTTTTTGAGATTGATATTAAATGTCAGATTTTGACTTATCTTCGAAACAAAAACCAGGACTAGAAGGGGGCAGGGGGCTAATGTATAGAGGTATAAGAAACAGTTCTCTGCCCACAGAGTTTACAATCCAGTTGGGGAAAGAAGACAAATACAAGCAAATTTTAACAAACATGTAAGTAACAGGTGAAGGCAATAATTATCACCTGTCACAAGGCACTATCTAGCTCATTGCTAAAGGGGTGGCTGAAATGTGTGGCCTCTCCAAGGTGATATAGGACTTAAAAGAAAAACAGAACAGCTTCAGTTACCACCCCTCTGCAGGTGACAATTTCTAAGTTTCCCCTCTCAGTCTGACCTGGGAGCTCCAGATTCATCTTTCAGTTCAACTCAGTAAATATCTACGGAGCTTAAAGACATTCTGAAACAGATGAATGAGCCACAGGCCCACAGCCGCATTTGGGGAAGCAGCACATGAGCCAGCCTCCCTATGCCTCGGTCTCACCATCTGTAAAACAGGAATGATAACAGAACTTAATATCTCACCAGGGGGTTAGGAGGGATGAACATCTTTCCATTTATAGTGCCAGCAGCTATCATTTATTGCTCACTTCCCACATGGCAGGCACAGTGAACCCTCAGACTTAATCGACGCTGAGATGGTAAATAACTTGCCCAAGGTTACACAGCTAGAAAATGGCAGAGCTGGGACTCGGCCATCAGAGCTTCAAAGCTCATGTTCTTAACCATCTGCTCCTAGTATTCAGTATTCAAAATGATGACTGTCATGTCACAAAGCTATTTCTCCACAAATGGCAGTCATCAGGAAGGCACTTGTAATTAAGTTGTACTCCTCATAATCCCCCAAACATTGCCTCTAGACTCAAAGATGACTTCACAGAGGAGGAAACCCTTGCAATGGGCCCTGATGGGTTTTCTAGGCAAAATGATGGAGGAATGGGCAGTCAGGGCAGGAACAGCCTAAGTAAAAGATCAGAAGAACAAAAATTACGGAGTTTTAGGAAATAGCTGCATGAGAGGCTGTGGGACATGAGGCTGAGTCATCAGGACAAGACCTCACGGGCTCCAACTACAAGGCTGCACGTGACTCTGCGGACACCTAAAAGCAACCAAGGGAAGGAGTGATACGCTCTCAGGTAAGAAAAAATGAGGCAGGGCTGGCAATGTGAGGCTGGACATGTGAAATGCTCCTGGTCACCCTCAGGTATAGTCAACAGGACGTGACAACTGCCTCAGCTGGGTGGGGACAGGGCGAAGGAAGAGAAGAGTCAGGGCTCAGTGTCAGGTTTTCAGCCTGTTTGGGAAAAATATATTACTTGAAATCTGAATTCGAGTTTGTGGTGCTTTTGGAACGAAGAGATCTCTGTCCAGCCATTTGTGTAGTTTTAGTTCTAGTGTGACCTAGAACTAAAGAAAAAGACCAGAGCTGGATGTATTAGCAAGGAGTTTTACAAAACCATGGGAGTGGATAGATATCACAGTCCACAGACCAACTACAGAGTAAGTGATGACCCAGGATGGGGCACCATAAAGCACCTCCGGTCAGGGGTCTGGGAGAGAAGGTGGTGAGGAGGAGCAAAAAGAGGCAAAGAAAACCTAGGAGACTGGTGGTAGGGAAATTAAGAGAGGAAAAGCTCTGGGAAGAGGGTATTAGCAACAATGTCATGCTGAAGGGCGGGAAAGAAGGTTGACAGTATAGAAGTCACTGGATTTGCCAAGAAAGAGGGCACCAGTGGCCTGTGCAAGGAGTTTGGTGGGATGACAGCGATGGTGACAACCGGATTGTGGGGACTGGGGATTGACTGTGGAGAAAATAACCTTTATTTTTTCTGTAATGTAGTGTCACCACTTTATTGAAATCTTCAAAACAGTGTTTATTCTACATTTTGAGTATAAAAAATCCACAAGTGCGCCACAGTGCAAAGAGAAACATACAGTAGAGAATTTCCATAATAATCAATGGCATAGCCAAACACCACACGTACAGAACACATTTAGATGAACTGAAATTTTAAGATAAAATAAAGCCCAATTTCTGAAAACAAAAATCAAAGTACTAAGGATCCCAAACATTCTTAACCCTAATGAGATTTCACTGGACTCAAATCACTTGGAGGTGAGGCATTCACAATATGACCCCATTAACCCAGCTTAGGAATTCTTGGAACCATGAGTGGCTGCATCAGGCAGGCTGACAACACATGGCAACCAAATTTTGATGTGAAAATTCTCCTTTATTTGACTCTAAAGTTTTCTGACTTTTGAAAGGCATCCTTTTGAAAGGCTTTTGAAAGGCATCCTCCTCACTGCCCCTCAGATTTTAAACAAACTTGTTTTCAGTACAGTTTGTACTGATGTTCTTTGTTCAACTGAACCTCAGTTTTTCCGGCACCAAAGCAAATTTAGGTTTGGCTCATGTCTGATGAAACAACCTATGAGGAGGGTCTAAGAGGCAGATGCAAAAGCAGAAGCAATGGGGTCTGTTACTGAAGGGGTTTCAGAGGATCCTTGTGAAAGACTAGTTAAAAGACAGCATGTGGGGAGATGTGCAAGGAGAGAAGGAAGTTAGTCTGATCGGCCTGTCCTGCAACTCTGATTCAATGGAGACTGTCAGGAGGGAACAGAAGACAAGGTTTGAGGGTGGGACATGGGGCAAAGGATGGAAAGGCAGTCAGACAACTAAAGCGTTTTATTTATGACATGTACTACAAGTCAAAGACTTAAGGGAGACTAAAGACCAATCAGAGTAATTTGGCAACTTTAATTCTTAGAAGATGAAAGTTCCCTCCAAGCCTGATTTGATACTTCATTACTAAAAAGCAAAGACCAGTATGGTACAGTATAATTCCGGAGGAGTTCAAGGAAGATCCTTAGGGCTGTTTTGCCTACATTAGTTTATGAATGGCTACCTCCCCTACATCAAAATGCTTCAGGGAGATACTGCTTACCATAATATGGTGTCTCACTAAATGTGAAAAGTGTCCAAAAGTTTGGGCACCAGAAAGACCCCACAAGAGGTGTCTGAAGTGAAACGTGAGGTTGACAGGATGAAAGCAGCTGAACTGTGATAGTGCCGAAGGTACGTGATGTCTTTCCCAGCACTGGTGGTCTGGTTCCTCACCAGATCCTGGTGCTACCATCTAAGCCACCCATGAAGAGGTTCCCCTTCCACTGGGTTCCAAGGACACTGGCTCGCTGTAGGCTGAGCAGCACTGGGAAGGCATCCTGGGGGTGGAGGAGGAGTGCTGCCAGTAGCCCCAGCTCTGAATCTGGTACCTGCAAAATACCCTCCTTCCACCAGCACTGTTGAACCAGGTGGACAGATGGGACCAAGTGGGTAAGAAGCCACAGGGATTGTGGAACCTAAAGGGCCATAAGCCATAGTCTAGGCCCTGGGAAGACACAGTGAGGTGAGAGGGAAAGCAGCTGATGTGGCAGAAACTGTGGCAGCCCGTGGATGCACCAAGTTCAAACAACAGAGCTCTGAGTACAGGCGGAGCATCAGTACAGGCGGAGCCTGAGGGAGACACGAGGTCTGAGGGTACACTGGATGCCCGCAAGGCTGCACACGGGAGACTGGCCACGTTAGATACTGACCTTGCCTGCTCACATGGTTATGGGTCTGGTTCTGCTCAGCCTCAGAGACCAAAATAACCTCTTGACAGGTAGAAGTAAAAGAGCAATTACAGCCTGAGGAGGGTAGGTTCTGGAGGGACACTGGAGCACGTTTGCCAGCTAAGGAGATAAGCTGAGGAAAGACTGAAATTATAGGGGAGAAAGGGAAAAAGACCCTCGGAAAAACAAAAGTCCAAAGTTTCAGCGAAGAGGCTCATCATGTTCCACTGAGACCACAGCAATGTGGCGAGGGGTGGGGTGGAGCAAATCTGAGGGGATCTGAAGGGAAAGGAGTTCATTTTGGATCATTTTCTCAGTGAAGCAGAAGTGAAGTTACCATCTGGGAGGTTAGGATGGGACCAGGAATAAGACCAGCAAGCAGGTTTGTTTGTTTGTTTGTTTGTGAAGAGAGAAAAGGAGAGGGAGGAGCCCATTGCTGGGCTCAATCCCAGGATCCTGAGAGCCTTTTTTTTTTTTTTT